TGTATATGGACGACAAGAAGTAGGTGTTCTGATGGTGAGTGTTCAGTGAACCATTTCACACCAAACCACTCTGAATGACTTTGTTTACGTCTCAAACACTGAATTATGAAGAATTTTTTAATTGGTGGAATTACCCTTTGATATGCTTTGAGAATTTCAGAAGAACAGCTGGATGAGTGTCTACAAACATTTGGACACACTGTGGTGTCTACACTGTTCTGTCCTGCACTTTTTTGTGTTGTGCTGCTTTTCTGTGCTGTTCTGGTAAAATTCAAATAAAGTAGAAATGAAATCAGCTGAACTGAACGAGCTCAGAACAAAGCGTGTCGTATCTAAGTGAAGGCGCCTAAGCAGAGAACACAGAACAGCCACGAACCATCATGAACACGCAGGTATTACACGGCTCTGGTCCTCTGCTGTCGTTTCTCAGGAGCTCGGCTCTGTTAGCTCAGGTGAGAGAAGCCTCAGTAGTGAAGAAAGGGAAAAGTGTGTGTGCAGTAAAATCAAGAACAGGACACAGAGCCTGAGGAACCACAGGAACGAGGCCTCTGTACCAGCTAACACGGTGCAGAGAGACACGCCAGTGGAAGGAAAGGTAAGGGGTACCTGAGTTTTGCCACAGACAGCAGAAGGTCTTGTAGGTGTTGTATTTGGAAGAAAAAACACAGAAGGCTCTCTTTAAAGGGGAATTCCACCGATTTTTTAAAAAGTTGCATAAATCAGAGGCTGAAATGTAAACAGTTACTCAGAGTGTTGTGATGTGAAATGGTTCACTGTACTTTAATCATTTACTTTCCAAAAAACAATTGGTTAGTGTGCTGCCATGGTGGTGCTGCAGAGCCCTCACGTAATCCCTGACCCACTAAGAAGGTAGTCAGATAGGATGACATGATGATCTGGGTCTGAGCTGTTTACTGCATAATTATACCCAACACTGTACATATGATGATGTCATTTGGTGTAATTTTGATGTTAATTTGTATTCTACATCATCAGCCTATCAGGCTCCCCCAGGTGTTTGGGAACCTCCCGAGTGTGTAAGTGAGCGTTTATGAATCTTACATCACATTTAAAATGAATTATTTAGTTGTTTTTTGTTTAATACAGTCACTGAATTCAATGAAATAACCATCAAATTACAAAAATAATAATAATAATAATAATAATAATGATCTTAAACATATCAATATATTCAGTACAGTAATGGTCATTTTGTGCTTGGATTTCTAGGACAGAGATGGTGAATCAGATGATGAACAGCTCTGAATCGACTCTGAGTGAAGAGATCAGTCTAAACTGCTTACGTTACACAAACAACTTTATTAACTTTTAATTTGGAAATTATTTCTCTTTTTGGTTTTATTTTTCTGCTTTTCTGTTTTTACTTCACTCTGCTTTCAGTATGATGAACACTGGGAAAGTGTCATAGTAGCAGCTTCAGACTTTTATTCTGTAGGATCTCAAAACTACATCACATTTTAATATTTGTTGGATTAAACATATCACATTTGACTATTTCTAAACTTGCCTTATAAACCATTCTGAAACTGACCACTGCACTGTAATACACTCAGTTTCAGACTGGACTTGCTTTAGTTCAAACTCTCTGGGCATTTTAAACAAGTGACATTTTATAGAATTAAGGCTGCAGCCCATTACGCAGCTAGAAAAGTGCAACATGATGAAATTATTAATATTCATAATTCATAAACATTTAAATTAAGCTATGAGCCAGACACAGTCCTAAAACCACAAAGCTCTGTGAGCTGTTTAATCAAATTATAAGTAGAGATGCATCGATACTGATATTGCTATCAGGTATTGAACTGATACTGCACTTATTTACTCGACTCACGATCATAAAAACGCACTGATACCATCATCTGATACCAGCTGATACTGTGTGATGTAAGCACAGTGTCACTGCTGGGATAATGAAGAAATGACTGAAGCTGACAGTGGACGAGGGTTTACTTGCCTAGTGAAGTATTACTGATTCCGTGGCAGCTGGACACAAAGTTGTTGGTCACTTTAAACTTTCTACTTTGGTATATTTGCCCCAGGCATACAGTGTGTGATTTTAGCCTGTTTTTTTAGTCACACACAAAAATCATCAGCAAGATTTTAAATGCTATTGATACATTCCTAATAACAAGCTACTGTTTATGCAGTAGCCACACAATAGTAACACAAGTTACAGTATTTGCATCGCTCTTCCACACGATTGTGCAGTGAGTCTGTGAATGAAATAACACTGGATTCTAAACCTTGAAGAGAAAATGTAGCAAAACTAAAAAAATCCAAATTAGCACAAAGATGAATTTTAGGATGTTTTATTCTGCCAGACGTCCCTTCATCACTAATAGTCAGCGATATTGAGCTAATGATCAAACTTTGAGGGATGATGAACTAATAATCTCCTCTAATGATCTAGTGGGCTTGTTTGTGAGTGTTGAGTTTAGCACTGGTGCTGTACTGAACTCCTGCTCAGTGGGAGCAGCAGTGAAACAGGAGAATTACATGAAGAAAACTGTGATCCAGTAACAGTATGGATTAACTTAGAGCTTTTCTCATGGGTCTCATCAACATGTGTTCTAAATGTGTTCTGAATATGTTCCTGTTTATGTGCTGTAATGAAATCCATGACCGAATACATTTAAAACTGTGTGTTCAGCACTAATTTTTATTTTGTATTTTTTATTCTGCTGCCCTGTATATGAATGTGTACACACACTGAGGTCCAAAAGTCTGAGAGCACTTTGAAAATCTAGGATTGTTTTCATTTAGTCCTGCAAATAAACAGAATGTTTTAGAGTGTAAAAATATTAAAGAAAAAAAAAATTTTGTATGCATTTTTTAGCGCTGGTTAAGCTGTTTTACAAAGTGAAATGGTGTTTATACTAAACTTTCTAAAACGCTTAAAAAGTCATTACATACAATAACTGAAATTTGATCCTTGAGTTTAACTTTCGTTTTACATCAAATCATCAGAGAAAGAAAGTTTTTTTAATGGAAAATATTGGAGTGTCTTAATAAGAATCACTCAACTATGTAAACTTTAAATAAAGTTTTAAAACCTTTTTTACTTTTTGTATTGATTTGTGTTCTTCACTGATCCACACGCTGATCGCTCAGAACCTCAGCGCCGCTCTGTCTTTATATCACGCTCTGCTGTTCTTCGCTGGTGTTCAGTGTTTATATTCAGTGTTGGTGTTTGATATCTGAAACACGGCCTCATTCATGCAGATGTTTCAGTGAGGAGCCAACAAAACAACAGCATTCAGCAGCTCATGAGCCAATGGCTGTGCTGGTAGGCGGAGTTTAAGTTGGATCAGTGGGTGCAGAGCTCCCCCTACTGACCAGACTTTATAGTGTTGAAATTAGGACCACTGGAAGCCCTTCATCAGGACTGAACTGAAAATATCAGAGCATTAGAACACAGATTAGACCTTCATCAGACCATCTAATCACAGTCTGATCAGTCTTCACTGTGAAGCTCATCAGCTGTGAGGAGAGAGATGTGTCTCCACTCTTCATCATCTCTCTACATGATGATTCACTCATCTGCTCACTGTATTGATCTGAACTGAAGCAGTAGTGAATCAGGATCTTCTCTCTGACTGGATGGATGTGGATGTAGCTGTATTTCCTGCATGTAGTGATGAGTGATGAGCTGATGATTGTGTCTCTGTAGAGTTCACACAGCGCAGGTGATGATCAGCTCTGAGCTGGATGATAATCTCATACAAGTCGTTCAGAGTAGTTTGGCCTGAAATAGTTGATTGTAGAGACTTACGTGTCTTTACAGTGGTGGTGAATAGAACCAGGGGTCACAACACAAATATAGCTGTTTTATTTATTGTTAATTATTTTGTATTTTTTTTTTATATGTAATGTTGATGATGATAAAATAGTGGTAAGTCTGAAAAAAAGTTTTGCTTCACAACACCCTGCATTTACGCCTTCAGCATGAGTTTGTTTAAAAATACATATTTTAGGTCAAACACACACTGTGTCAGTCAGGCAGTGAATTCATAACCATTTCATATAATAACATTCTGTGAGGGAGCTTTTAGAGGAGGACGTCTGGTTCCTATCACCACCACTGTGAACAATTCTGACTCTCTAAGTTTCTCTAGAACAGAGCGTTTCACACCAAACCACTATGAATGACTCTGTTTACATCTGAACCACTTAAATATGCAGACATTTTGAAAAAGCTGTGGAAGCTTTGTGGAGCTGTGTGGTTCCCCTTTAAAGAGAGATACAGTCTATAAAAGTCACTCTAGAGAAGAAAGATTTTCAGTATTCATTTTCACATCCAGTCAATAACCAGAAGAACACTAAACAAGCAGCAGAAATGGATCATTAGAATGGATCATTTAGTGCAGAGACTCAGACTGGTGTATTCGTTTTAAACATTGAGGACCTCCCCAGGTGGTGGTGGTGGGGGGGGGTTCTTTTTCCAGGTGTGTGTGTGTGGGGGGGGGGTGCTTCTTCCTTTTCATTTAAATAATAAATTGTTGTAGTATTAATAATAAATGCAGTGTAACATTGGAGGATTTTTCTGCACCACTGATTACAGCTGTATTTTACTGCATTACAGAGTTACAGCTGACTGTATAAGACAACCTCTCTGCGGTCAGTTTCACTCTGAAAGGTGATTTGTTATTTGTGTTACCTGATTTAACACATTCTGTGTCAGAAATAGTGTTCAGTCTCCAGCTGAACACACGGATGTGCCTAGTTAGAGACAGAATGTGTTGTTTTGTAACACATCTGTTTAAAGAGTGGGCTGTGGTCAGTTATCCAGTCAGCTGCAGTCAGCTGCGATCAGACCCAGGCTGCAGGAGGAGGGAGAGAAATATGAGAGGAATCCTTGCAGTTTCAACTTCGAGTTCCACGCCCTCTTTGGCTCTCAGCTTAGCGGCTCATGATTTTTCCTTAGTTCCTATTGGTCAGAGCTCCAGACACCCTAAATCTCAGATTTCTACTGTGTGTAAACTCCCCCTGCTGCTCCTGCTGAGACTCCAGAGCAGAAAGCAGAAAGATCTCCAGGAGGTTGAAGATATCGGCTGGTCATTTTGTCCAGATTAAGGCGTTTATTTCTCTCATTATGGTTCCAGTCTGCAGTGAGAGACGGGACACATCATGAAGTCCCTGCTGCTCCTCATCTTCACTCTTCATCTCACTTCAGCAGGTCAGTCCAAAGGCTAAAGCTGAGCTCCAGTAGTTTCCCTGCTTCTAAATCACACTGAAGAGCAGACAGACTATTTATTATAAGTAGAAAATCTGGGTTCTATTCTGTACATGTGAGAGATAGCAGAGTGTATTAACACACACTGGGCTACAAAGTGGGAAAGTCAGAGCTGGGAATTGAGCCATTTTCCACATCCTTTACAAAGTGGAACAACACAGGAAAAAGGACTCCATGAGATGCATAGTTGGCAACAAGCCATCCAGCCAATGATAGTGATCCCTGCTTAAAAAGAACCATTAGAAACCATTAGGATCAAACCTTAATGGTTTTGTTTTGTAATATTAATTAGTTATGTTGTACACTTTAAATATAAAGAAAGTACAATATTGAATAAAACAGTGTACCTACAGGTTTGTACAGCAGTTTAAATCTGGCACTATTATTGTTAAAATATTGTGACATGGATTATGAAAATATGTTTCAGTATTGTGAAATATTTTCCATAGTGACTGTTTTTTTCTGTATTGTCCACCCCTACGGTCAGTATGAAAACACAACGTAAATGTGCTGCATGTGTTGCAAATGTAGAAACTGGCTGTAACAGTAAGTAAATCTCAGCATGAACTCTCAGTGACCAAACTCACTTTTGGTCACTCCTTCCTCAGAGCTGAACTGGCAGCTGCTCAGTCTCCCTCAGTGGAATGTGTGGGGAAATGTGTAAGAGCACTTGGGAAGCAGCAGTTAGAAAACATTACAGCTGATTTCACTTATTTAATCATCACACTGTGAACCTCACAAAACTTGCAAGCTGTCAAACTGCACACTTTAAGGAACTAAAGAAAACTCAGCCAACTATAAAGATGTGTTTTATCGTATAGTATCATCACCAAATCTTTATCAGGAAGATGTAGAAGACATTCAGCTGTTATAATCATTTTAAGTATCCTCTGACAAGAATTTAACGTTTGACGTTCAATTTGAAAAAATTACATATTAAATTAAAAAGAAATTCCCTTTGTCCTCTGACTGGACTAATTATGCTGCCTGTCCAGGAATCTGCTGCTTTCCTAGTCATTTTGGCCATTTTTCTGCCATTGCTGACTTGACTTCGTCATTCTGTTGCCTTCATTTTCTCATTCCATTCAGCTCTCAGTCACTGGAGCCATGTCCTTTTGCCATTCCTGGCCTTTTGGGGTATAAATTCCGAGTGATTCTCATCCAAGGTCATAACTGAACAACCTTGCTGTTACTGACAGGATATTCCATGCCAAACTGCCTCCTGCTTTACTCTCATCTAACTCCTTTGCCTGCCTTGTTTAGCTCAATCCTCACAATCCGGTGTCGACCAGAGAAGGATGGGTTCCCCTGTCAAGTCCAGATTCATCTCAATGTTTCTTCCTTTCCACTGTCACCCTTGACTTGATCATCAGGGGTTCAGATGTGGATATTAATCTTTGCAGTAATACTGCACAGAAATACAATTCAAACCGTTTCTGAATCTGTTGAGTTGCATCACAAGATTATGTGTGCCTCGCATCTGGAGTTCTGAGCCAGTGAAGATAAGTTGAGACACACGCCATCTGCCTCTCACTGTGTGAAACTGGTGGATTCATGTGCCTCTTGCCTGTAATTGGTGGATTCGTTTGTCTGTTTATATTTTGTGAGAAACTGACCAATGGACACTCAGGAAATCACTAAGGGCTTACCCATCGTGTTGAAAACACTGAAAACACTGATACCCATTTCAAGCACCAAAACAATTCATCCATATGAGTAAAGCCATGTCTTCACAAGCAATATTAAGAATTTCTAAAAGCAGATTTCATTTTGTCAGATTTCGGGCCAAATTACACGGTGATCCAGATCAAAAGGGCCTCACTACAGTGAGAGCTGAGATTTTTGACTAAAAAAAAAAAAAAATATCGTATCTGATATTTTTTCAAAATGTCTATGTATTGAACGGAAGACACATAGATAATTCAGATGCTATGTATTTTATACTGCTTCCACCCAATGACTGATGGGGTAAGCTCCAGCTCCCCCATAACCCAGAAGAATAAGCGGCTTAGAAGATGTATGTGTGTGTATTTTATAGTTGTAATGAATTAAAATCCCTTTGCAGAGATCTGTTTTCTGTTTGGCTCTAAAGAATCAGTTTCTTCTAAACTGTGTAAAAAAAGAAACTAATTAAATCCACCGTGATCCAAAGTTCTAATACAATAAAACGTGAAAACTTCCAAGGGTGTGAATACTTTTTATGGGCACTGTCCATAAGTGGACAAAGCTTCATCAGAATATATTTATTGCTTTTAATAATGAAAGTTACTTTCATTGTGTGAACACAGAGTCTTACATGAACTTGAACATGAAAATCACGCGAACGCAGGATGAACATGAAAATAAGGTGAATGCAGTTTTCATCACTGATGTTCAGTGGGAGCAGCCCTAGCTGCATATTCCAGCTGATCTGAGACTGTAGCATCCTCACTCTTACAATGCTACATTACCCCTTTATTAAGGGAGGAACCAGAGTTTTCTTCTTCATTATTTGTCCTTGTTTTTGTTAGTTTGCTGCTGGTTGATTTATCCATAGTTCTCTTGCGAGCACTGCCCAGTGTAGATTGCTGGAGGCATCCTCCATTACTGATACTGCCAACATCAGTGGTGTGTTTTGCTTGTAAACGATACTTCAGACTAGCTGTACACCGTAAAAATTAAAGGTGTCTCAAATATCCAAAGGGGTACTCGAAGAATGAAAAATTTGAGATGCCTCAACTAGCCTTCCCATATAACAGGGTAACTGGAGCAGCCCTTGATGATCTACAGGCTCTTACAAAAACCTAACTGGGTTCCATCAAGCACCACATTTCAGTTCTAGGTTCTTTTAGGAACTCTCTTCTTTTGAGCGAGACCTCAAGCACCTATAGGGAGAACTAATAGGCCTAAAAGGGGCTATTTTAAGAACCCTAGACTTTTTGGAGTTCTTCAAAATCTTGTATTGTAGCAGGTTCCATGAGTAACCAAAAGGTTTGCTGAGTCAGGAGCAGGCCTCATATCCTAAAACCTAGCAGTTTAAAAATTGTTCCTTGAAACACCCAAAGTGTTTTCAGATGATGCTGGATTAAATGGTTCCTCAGGAAACCTAGTTAATTATTGTAGGTTCCCTAGAGAACTACCCTTTTCAAAAAGGTTCCTGGAGGCTCCCTAAAGGGTTCCACCATTGTGGCAAGCTGAGGAACCCCAAAAGTATCCTTGCATTTTTATAGTACACTTCAGTGATAAACAAACACAGCACTGTAAATTATTTTACAGTACAGAAACTTTGGGTTTCCAGTTGCAGTTTTGTGAGAAATCATTTACATCATAGCTTATTTATCTTTACAGACAACCACTTTCTGGACTTCTTCTTCACCGGAGTCACACCAGGAATCAGCTTCCCAGAGTTCACTGCTGTTGCACAGGTGGATGGACGTCAAGGCGGCTATTATGACAGTAACAGCAGGAAAGTGATCCTAACAGAAGAGTGGCTAAAGAACTATACAGATGAAGAGCACTGGAACATGATAACAGAGATTTCACATGGTTATCAGGAAGCCTTCAAAGTCAGGATAGCTACAGCAATGAAGCTCTTCAATCAGACTGATGGTATGTGTGTGCCTTTATATATGTATAATGTTTTTCAGTTTTTGACAAAATCTGAAAAAGCTTGTTGCCCTGTACACTGTGTGTAAATTTCATATGTAATGGACCTAAACAAACAGCCAAAAATGACTTGGAAAAAATTCTGGTTCCATTGACTCACGTTAAAAGTAAAGTGTGTTTTTTCCTTCTCCTGTAAAGTTACCATTTTGGAGATATGAGATTTTCTTCCTACAACAGCGATATGTATGTGTGTGCATGTACAGCACTGCGCAAAAAGTCAGAGACAACACTTACATCTGTTTACCTCAGCTGCCTCACACATTTCTCTCTCATGTGCATGTAAAATGGTCCATCTTTCCATTATGAGAGGACAATGCTGTGGGTCTGAAAAGATGTTTAGCTGTTCAAGAAGCCCTCACTGAAAAAAAGGAAATAGACAAGAAGAAATTTTTCACCAGAACAAAGAACCTGGATATCTCAGATGTGGAGTAATGTTTTATGGACTGATGGTATGAGATCTTTGGAAGTAACAGTTGGTTATATGTATGATGCTGAAGATATGAGTATATTGGGGGCAGTAGTGGGCTGGAGGTTAGGGAACCAGCCTTGTGACCGGAAGGTCACTGGTTCGATCCCCTCAGCTGACAGTACGTGACTGAAGTGCGCTTGAGTGAGGCACCTAACCCCTACCTGCTCCCTGGGCGCCTTGGATAGGGCTGCCCACTGCTCCGGGCAAGTGTGCTCACTGCCCCCTAGTGTGTGTGTGTTTACTAGTGTGTATGTGGTGTTTCACTGCACGGATGGGTTAAATGCGGAGGTCTAATTCCAATGTGTTCAGATACAGTTGGCTAAAAAAGGTTAATTTCATTTCATTTTCATATGAAAGACTCATCTAACCTTATCTAGAACCTTCAATCAGTTTGGGATTGCTTGGACTGTAAGAAGCAGAAAATGCAGAACCCCCCCCCCCCAACCCGATTTTCAGTAACTCTTTCACTTTCTTCCTCCACATCCTCATATTTACTCAGATGGTCAATATTGGCTATTTTTCCATTGAACATGTCTGAGGCACCTAAAGCTGTATAGTATGTATATTTAATAAATATACATAAGATATAAGAGACATTATAAACTAATTCTGTCTTGAGTGAAATCACATGTAACAGAACTTAATAAAGTGCTTAGTGAGTGTATATGTAAATGGAAAGTGATCGTACATGTTGATAAACATGTTTGAAACATCAATGCATTTAAGTATCATCAACATTTTTTATGATTTCATTAAGATAAAGAGAAAAAAACAGTATAGCTTTTCATTTAAGAAAACTATTGGTTCCAATACTGGTAAATTTGATCACTTTTTATGCATTTGAGCATATTTTTATGGGTCATACATTTTTGGGTTAATCCAGCTACATTAGAGAACTCTTATGCTTTGGATAGTTGTCTTGCTGCCTAACTCAGTCGCACTTGAGCTTCAGAGCATGGACACTGTCCTGCAGGATTAACTGCTCTGTTAGTTATGGCAAATTGCCCACAGGCCCTTAAGCAGCAAATCACACCATCACACTACCATGTTTCACTTCTGGTCAGATGCTTTATTAAGGAATACTCTTAGCTTGATGTAACGAGACCCACAAAATTCCACTTTCTATTCCACTTCCAATGGTGGCCTAGCGATGCCCCTGACTCTCACTGTGGTTCACTGGAGTCCCAAAGCCTCAGTAATGGCTCTATGACCATTTCCAACTGATATTTTTCATTAACCTCTCATCTTTCAGAATTTCTTTTGATTACAGCATAATGTGCTGCCTGTTGGGTCATTTTAGCCTCCTTCACATTCCTGAAAAGATTCTATTTAAGTGATGTTTCAATTCAGTTGGGATGGCAGTAATGAAGCCTGGATGAGTGTAATTTTATTGATCTCAAATTACCAACTGAATTTGGCTAACAACCCCACAGTGTGAGATCTGATCTGATTAGCTTAACCGGAGGGCTCAATGCCTGTCTTGCCACATCTACAGTTAGATTTTTTACAATTCGATTATTAACTTCAGCCATCTGTTATAGGATGGCAGCTGGGCAGTTGAGAGTCATTTCAGACAAATAGTAGACTAAACTTTATTTACATCTGAATGGAAGCTTCTTAACTTCATTTATATCACAACACAGCATCCTTTGCAACAAACTGTTACTTTCAATATACTGTAGACCCTTCAGGGGTTCAATGTTCAGTCTGACTCTGTTGAATCCAGAGCGCTTCTCTTGCTTCATTACTGTTTTTATTACAATACAGACTGGTCATTTCCATTTCAAATTTGGAGAAATGTCCTTTTTCCATGCAGCTTTAATAGTTAGGTGTCACAGGTTGTACCATTTACTGTTCACAAAAAGATAAAGTCCTCCCCCATCTCCTATTACCGCTCTCTTTAGTGTTCCTGTCTGTGCACTGATAAACACAGAATACAGTGGCAGCAGATGTTGAGGTATGTGTCAGTCCATCCTTTAAAAAGCCATTTCTGCTTCCAAAAAAATATACACAACACTCTTGAACACGGAGGCACAGAAAATATACAAAAATGAACAAAAATGTTCGTCAGTTTTCTATGTATAACATCGCTGTTGGAAGAAAACCTCATATCTCCAAAATGGTAACTTTACAGGAGAAGGAAAAAAACCTACTTTACTTTTAATGTAAGTCAATGGAACCAGAGTTTTTTCCAAGTCATTTTAGGTAATTTCTTTTGTTCCATTCATCATGAAATTCACACACAATGTAAAGGGCAACAGGCATTTTCAGATTTTGTCAAAAACATCAAAAATGGAGATACAAGGTTTTCTTCCGAAAGCAGTGATATATATGCACAAAATTTACATTTATTAGAAAAACAAAACAATATCAGTAATATTACATCGCTTATATATTTAAATAAAAAGAAAATCACAAAAGTAAATCAACAAAATAAACTTTTTTCTTGTCTACTGATGTTTTCATAAATAGTGAGAGATATAGTGATGTGCTCATATGTGTCTCTGCAGGGATTCACACGTGGCAGTGGATGTTTGGCTGTGAACTGCATGATGATGGAACCAAGAAAGGATACAGCCGGTACGGTTATGATGGAGAAGACTGGCTCAGTTTGGATCTGAACACCTCCACCTGGACTGCAGCCAATGATAAAGCTTTATTCACCAAAAAGGAGGAGAATACAACTAAAGCCGAAGGCCATAAGAACTTTCTGGAGAATGAATGTATCGAGTGGTTACAGAAGTATGTGTATTATGGCAGAGAAACTCTGGAGAGGAAAGGTAAAGTGTGTGAGCTGATCTGTTTCTGTACCTGTCTTAGCTTTACTGGGGTCCGAGGCAAAACTTGACTTGCTCATAAACTCAAACCACACATCTTCTCCACCAACACAACTCTTCAATCCCTTTACAACAGTCATCAGCTGCTAATCATGATTTTAACACAGCAGTTCTTCTGTTAGATTTATTTACATGAATGAGAAATAGTAGCTTTTGAATTGTTGGTAACAATTTACAATATAGTTCCTTAACTAATGCTTAAGTAGTGACAAACTTAAAAGTAAGTACAACCCCATTTTCAAAAAAAGTTGGGAAAAATGTAAATACAAATGCAAGGATGAGCAAATTATTTAAACCCTATATTGCACTTGCTCAACTTTAATAGATTATAATTATATATTTCAGGAGATTTGCTTTCAGTTTGTTAAAGAAATCTGCAGGGATATTTTTCCACACTTCCAAAGTTCAGTCTTAGTAGTTGGTTGCCTTGTCTGCTTTTTTGGGATCCACATAACCTCATTTACAAATTTAGACTCATCAGTCCATAAAACCTCACTCCACATCTCAGATGTCCACGTTCAGTTTTCTATTACATTTCTTTTCCTCAGTACGGTTTTCTTGACAGCTACACATCCTTTCAGACCCACAGCGCTGAGTCGTCTTCTCACAGTGGAAGGATGGACAGAAACACCTGTGGATGTTTTCAGATCTGAAGCAGCTTGATTTTCTCCTCTCTCTCAAAAAGGAAAGCTTTAAGTGCTGTTTATCTGATGGGGGCAGTTTTGGTGTATTCCAGATGTTGCAGGTGGTTGTTAGGAGTCCCACTTTCTCTGCAGCTTTATTTTTTTATTTTATTATTTTTCAAACTTTGGTTTTTGGAAAATCCTAGTTTTTTTATTTTTCATTCCCTTTGTCTTTCCACAATGGGCACCAATGTTTGGTGACACTCTGGGCCAAAGTAATGTTGTGCCACTAAACAAACAGATCTTGTATCTCACTCCAGTAGGCAGACTCATCATTGTTGCTTCAACTAACAGTCCAATCACAGTGGTGTCATCTGCAAACTTAATTATTTTGTTGTTGTTGTTTATAACTATACAATCATGGGTGAACAAGCTGTACAACAGGAGCTGCCCTTACAGAGTAGTTTATTCAAGTGTGCCATTAGTATACTTCTTTTAAACTAAAAACACATAACCCAGTCAGGCTCAGCCTGAAAAGGCAATGTGTGGGGACCATCATGGGCGACAGGTGCAGTGCCTTGGTGGCATGAACCCCTGCAGTGGAAACTGGCTCTTGTTATGTGGAATGTAACCTCCTTGGGGGTAAAGAAGCCAGAGGTTGTTCCCTCTCCTACTTGGCAGTTGCACAGGGTTAGATGCACCGGCCGGGTGTGTGGATACTCACAAGCCCCTGGCTGGCTGCTGTGCAGTTGGAGTTCGTCACTGTGGATGAGAGGGTCGCCTTAGCGTGAATTAAAATCACACTCTGATTGTTTTGTGTGCTTACACACCAGACTTCTGTGCTAGTCATGGATTGTCCACAATGAACACCAAGTTTGACCCAGAGCTCTTTGGGTGAAAGGTCAGTGATTTTTGACCTGATTTTTTTTTTATTTGACCTGGTACCATATGTCCTAGACGCTCAGGTGAAGAAAGGTGCTGAGCTGTCAACCAATCACCATCTGGTGGTGGGCTGGTTCAGATGGCAGGGAAGACTGTTGGTCAGACCTGATAGACCCAGGCAAATGGCGAGAGAGGCCGAAGCCCCTGTTCGGAATGACTGTAACTCCCAGCTCCAGGAGAACTTTTCTCCTGTGCCGGAGGAGGTAGGGGATTTGGAGTCCAAATGGACCCTGTTCAAAACCTCCATTGTGGAAACCATCAGATGTAGCTGTGGCCAAAAGCTTGTTGGTGCTTGTCATGGCAGCAGCCCAAGAAATCCCTGGTGGTCACTGTTGGTGAGGGAGGCCATCAAGCTGACCTTAGATTGGGGAGGAAAACACGAATTCCATCCCAGCCGTGGAACAATGGACCAGCTTTTCATCCTCATGCAGATTATTCAGAGGCATGAGAGTTTGCCAATCCAGTCTACATGTGTTTTGTGGACTTGGAAAAGGCTTACAATTGTGTTCCCCCAAAGTATTCTGTGGGAGGTTCTCCGGGAGTATGGGCTTCCGGGGCTGCAACTCCAGGCCATTCAGTCTTGTACTCCCGGAGTGAGAGTTGTGTCTGTGTACTTGGCATTAAGTCAAGGTCTTTCACTTCATGATTTTCATGGACAGGGTGCCAAGGCGTAGCCAATGTCAGGAGGGTATTATGTGTAATGTTAATGTTTACCCCATCTCTCTCTCTCTCTCTCTCTCTCTCTCTCTCTCTCCAGTCCGTCCTGAGGCGTCTCTGTTCCAGAAGGACTCTTCTTCTCCAGTGGTGTGTCATGCTACAGGTTTCTTCCCCAAAGCAGTGATGATCTCCTGGCAGAAGAATGGAGAGGATCTGCATGAGGACGTGGAGCTCAGAGAGACGCTACCCAACCAGGATGGAACCTTCCAGAAGAGGAGCGTTCTGACTGTCTCACCTGAGGAGCTGAACAAACACAACTACACCTGCATCATTCAGCACAGCAGCCTGGAGAAGGAGATGGTGCTGCAGGTGGTTAATCACAGAGGTGAGAGAAATAAGATATATTTTCAGCTTTAAAGTCACTGATGAGCCCAATTATAATAATAATGATCTTTAACCAATTTAGTTTCAGGTGGAGTCTTGATTGGTATCATCGTTGGTGCAGTAATGTCTGTTCTCGTTATCATCAGTGTTGGAGTTTTTGTGTGGATGAAGAAGAAGCAGCAGCAGCCGTCTGGTAAGAGAAGGAAATAAACACATCCCAACACCACTGGATTACTAACTGAAGATTTACTGTGGATTACCGTTAAGTTAAAACAGTCCAGTGAATGTAGACTAGCTACTAATCTAAATGAGGGTCTGCTAAGCTTTTTCAGGCCTGGATCATCAAATGAGTTTTATCCTGTTATCTAGTTTTATCTGTTCCACTATCCTCCAGTACCTCAGTCAAGCTTTCAGAGTTTCCTGTGTTTTTTTACATTGAGCTAGCATTCCTGTTAATGTACTTAGTTAGTCATAGGGGCACACCAAACAAGGGCTGAAAACGTGATGATACGGGTCTGAGGTTTTTACTGCATTTTACTGCGTAAGGATACACAATACTTTATAAATACTATGATGCAATTTTGTGTAATTTTGATGTAATTTTGCATCCTACATCATCAGTTTATCAGGCTTCCCGTAGGAGTACAGAACTCCCCGTATTTGTAAGTGAGCTTTTATGAATCTTATGTCATATAAAAAATAAAGTAAACTGAGCTTACATTGCACAGACATCTTTAATTAACTTTTAATTTGAAAACTATTTCTCTTGGTTTTATTTTTCATGGGCATTAATATGGAATCGCTTCCCTTTGCAGCTGTAACAGCTTCCACTCTTCTGAGAAGACTTTCCACAAGATGTCGGAGTGTATCTGTGAATTAAAGAACACTGAATCATATGTTTAAAAGTGAAGAAGTAGCAAAATTATCTAAATTAATCAGATTAGCAAGAAGAAATTGTTAAGATGGTCTGAAGTTCACTTATACTTTATATTTGCACATTTTATTCTACGAGACGTCCCTTCATCACTCATAGTCACTGATCTGATGATCAAACTTTGAGAGATGATCAATATAATAATCTTCTCTAATGATCTCGTGGGCTTGATTGTGAGTGATGAGTTTAGCCCTGGGGTTGTACTGAACTCCTGCTCGGGAGGATTGTGGGAGCAGCAGTGGACTGAAGCAGAAAATGACAGAGAAAGAAAGATGATAACTTGCAGAACTTCATTTAAACCGAAGAACTACATGAAGAAAACTGCCACTCAGTAACAGAGTGGATTAAATAAGAGCTTTTCTCATGTGTCTCATCAATATGTTATTAACGTTTGTTCAGTTTTCAAAAAGCATTACTGCGTTTTCTCATCACTACTTTTTCTGCCTAAGTCTTCTGGCCAACACTGTGTGTGTGTGTGTGTGTGTGTTATATATATATATATATATATATATATATATATTTGTTTTAAATATTCTTGTATGTATGTATATATATATATATATATATATATATATATATATATATATATATATATATATATGTAAGAATATTTAAAACAAATATATTAGCACTGACTCCAACAATACAAGCTTTTTCACAAAGTGAAATGGTGTCAAGTTGTATTTTGGGTAGTTTATACTAAACTTTGGGTAGATCAAAGAATCATGATCTAAGCTTAGATGAAAATGCTTAACAGTCAAAATGCACTTTGCAATCAAATTTACTAATAACTAGCTGTTTCAGCTATATACAGTTTTAATCAGTGTTTAATAACAAAGACATTACACAACAGCCCAAATTTGATCCTTGTGTATCTTTCTTATTCTTAGAAAGGAAGTTTTGTCTTTTGTTTCACTGTACAGAATATGAATGTATTTTTAAATTTGTAAAGAGAAAACAGTGTCTTAATATGAATTACCCAAATATGTGAATTTTAAATAAAGTTTTACATTTTGTTAAACATTTACATCCATATTTAGAACCTCAGTGCTGCTCTGTCTTTATATCACGCTCTGCTGTTCTTCACTGGTGTTCAGTGTTTATATTCAGTGTTGGTGTTTGATATCTGAAACACGGCCTAATTCATGCAGATGTTTCAGTGAGGAGCCAACAAAACAACAGCATTCAGCAGCTCATGAGCCAATGGCTGTGCTGGTAGGCGGAGTTTAAGTTGGATCAGTGGGTGCAGAGCTCCCCCTACTGACCAGACTTTATAGTGTTAAAATTAGGAGCACTGGAAGATCTTCATCAGGACTGAACTGAAAATATCAGAGCATTAGAACACAGATTAGACCTTCATCAGACCATCTAATCACAGTCTGATCAGTCATCAGTGTGAAGACAGAGCTCATCAGCTGTAAGGAGAGAGATGTGACTCCACTCTTCATCATCTCTCTACATGATGATTCACTCATCTGCTCACTGTATTGATCTGAACTGAAGCAGTAGTGAATCAGGATCTTCTCTCTGACTGGATGGATGTGGATGTAGCTGTATTTCTCAATTGTTATTTTCAAAATGCATTGTTTTAATCATGTTCCTGATTTAGTTTCTACTTCAATTTGTTACTTTTTAAATTATAATTTGAATTATCTTTGCATTTGTAAAGCACTTTGAATGACCAGTGTATGAAAGGTGCTATATAAATAAACTCGCCTTGCCTCGCCTATTATTTTAGATGTAATGTTAATGACGTTTAAATATTGGTAAATCAAAAAAGAAAAAAAGTATTCTTTGGGCGTTTTATCTCCCAACAACCTGCATCATGGACATGCACAGACATTTTGGAGGCTGTTGCATTAACCCCCCAAGCCCTCATCAGAGACCTGGGAGACAGGAGCAGAGTTGGCAGAGAAAAATCCCACTTCTGACGACGAACAGAAATTGAACTGTCAGGCTGGAAAAAGGACTCTGAAGTTTGCATGAGTGAAGAGTAACCCACTCAAAGCCTATCATTCTTTTGTTTTGATTATTGACAGTACTTCTCCTGCCTACACCGACCAGGATATCACAGTCACTCATGAGCATGTACCAGAATGGTGTAAAATATGGTCGTTTAACTAACCAAATCAATTTTCCATTTTTCCATAATGTGTACGTCTTTCTCTTCATCTCACTTTTATTGACATGGCCTTTTCATAGTCATGCCAGTAACTATAAGAATAGGCTGTATCTAGTTTTGTATGTAGAACATAAACAAGATAACAGCACAATTGAAAAATATCGTATAGGATTTCATGCTAATGCATGCATAATTTCTGGATTTATCATCCCATAATTCACAAAAGCTATTAGCTTAAGTATTTTACTTGATTACTTGAGCTTTTGGGGTCAGACACACCTACAGAAAATCACTTTCTTTTAAATTATTTTAAAGATGTAACTCCTTCACAATGCTACTGTGCACAGATATAATATACTGTGTATTTATCATTGACTGAAATATTAGATGGAGTTAGTTATTAGCCTATTTCCAACTTAAAAAGGGCCAACTTCACATGAAATCAATTATGTATGTAATGCTTGATATTTCTATAATAATGCTCACCTGCTGCTCTGCTGGTTGTTTGAATCCAGCTCTGCACTGCTGTGCTCCCCTTAGCTGCCTCCCTCAACTCTCTCTCTGTTTAATTCTCCTCCTTTTGGAAGGCTTTGCCTACTGTAAGCACCCAAAATTAACATTACATAAAAAACTGCATTACATTTTAAGCAGTTTGAACAATACAGGTTATCATCTCATAATGAAAAATAAGACAACTTTAAATATTCATCACAGCCTGAATGGAGCAAGTTTAAGAATTTAGTTAGCAGCTTATTTCACAAACTAGAAAGAAGGTAAGATTTAGACTTAGTGATTATTCATCTGGTTTTTAGTTCTATAGTACATTTTGATTAAAATGAATATTTTTCTCAATGACTTTAATCTTAGCCTTTGATTAGCTTTGATCAGATCCTTCTTTTATTTAAGGTGGTATCAATTATAATATAGTTCTTGTTTATTGTTTATTTGCTGCATTATTTTTTGTTTATTGTTTATTTACTGAATTATTTCTTGTTTATTGTGTATTTGCTGAATTGTACATATTGAAAAAAGTGGTCTATTCAAAAGTTATGGCTCAATTTATTTTTTAAATTCTATTTTTTACCAGTATATTAAACTCAGCAAAAAAAAAAACAGAAATCAGCTCTGCAGATGCTGATAGTTTCCTATTTTTTTTACTGAAAATTACTGAAATACATAGAAAATACAATGTACTAATCATGTTAATTGAATATCACCAAAGTTTCAAATGCCCACAATAAGTGTAGCTCTTTGATAAGTAGAATTAAACTAAGTGTGCAAAGTGATTGTAAACTGCCGTTAGATTAGTGCAATCTGGATTAAAGGTCTAAATTCCTTCTTTGTCTGTGAGAGCTGTTTTTGATGTAGCCTTATGCTCATTTTCACATATAATCGAGGTGATAGGACCACCGAAACTGAATGCTGCCAGACCCCACTGCCTCAGAGTGTCCACTGCCAGAACTCACCACAACCAACAGTTCTGAGGGTTTGAGCTCTCCAGCTTTGAGATTGCTAAATCTAAAATGCTGTAAAAAGATGTTTTTTATATATACAGTGTTTTTTATCCATTTTACTATCACCAATGTGGACATGCGCATGTTCAAACTACTCTGGGGACAGATTTTAATCTGTTAATGTCTTATAATCCTTGGTTTATAGCATCCTAACGCTTGTTATTCAGTAAGTGCATGGAAAGCAATGCTAACTGAGTCATTCTTAATTGGACCTTCTGGAGGATTCTGGCCAATGAAGGTGGTTCAAAAGAGCCAAAGTCTCAGAATGTATGGCCGCAATATGATAAGTAAAAGAGGCCATAACAACATGGAAAAACAGCGGTAAATATTGTCTAGCAAGAAGGGGCCAGGACTCTGGAGCCAGACATCTACACCCATGTCGTCTTGCATATCTGCAAGATTTGAACCTGCAATCTCCTGATGAGATGTAGTGAACCATCAATGCTGTACAGAGGCCACATACTTGATGATGATAAAACGACAAAGAATGATTGTAGTAAAAGAGAGACATGGGGCAGAGAGAAGAGGCAACTGAAATGTTAATTTTTTTGGCAAGGTAAAAGAATGGCACAAATCAGATTAGGACACTGCTGCAGTCTTTTTTATTACATACAAGATGACTAAGGTCAAATTATCTGCTGTTCAGTTTAATTCCTGATATTAACTGAAATAAAACATGAATGACATATATAAAGCCTGAATTAAAGCTCTCTGAGGTTCTGGCTGAGATGGAGGTCATTGTCAGAACCGGGCCTTTTACCATAAACAATCATGTTTACTCAACACTGAGACACACACATGTGATCTGACAGAATCAGAAAAGTGAACAGAAGCAGTGAGTGTACCTTCAGATTCCTCAACAAAGAAAGACAAGAACAGATATAACTTCACTTATTTAACTTGCCTGTAACTCAATACACAACACAGGAGTTTAAATTCGCTCAGCTTTGTAACTCCATATGTCACAGCTGTTTAAATGTACACAGCATTAAACACACAGAATGGTGTTTTTTGATGAAGATACTGTTGGATGGTATGAAGGTCTGATCAGTAAATGTGAGATTTACTGGTTGGGAAGTTTCTTCAGACGTTGTTCAGAAGTAGCAACTCAATGTACTGTTCATAACACACTGTAATAATGGCAGAAAGTAAATGTTTATCATGTCCTCACTGAATGTAAATTATGCAAATCATTACTGCTCTCCTATTCAGCTGAAACTAAGTTAGGCTGTAGATATTGATCTATAGCCTAACTTAGAGTATCACTTCATGTTTGAAAGGCAGGAGATTCTCTGTAGCTCTGAAAGTATCCAGACTCCTCTTCTGTTTACTGCATTCAGCTCTTTGAGACTCACTGCTGTTATGATAAACGTTTAATCTTCTCTTAGTTTACAATTCGTCCTTCACAAAATTTGACATTTTAATAACAAAGTTACATATTTGTATTGACATCTTTTAACAAATAGATACAATGATTTTTATTACTGCTACAAAAGGCAATGTTATATTATTTTGACGATATATACAATTTTTTTTATTAAATACTTTTTAGAGTATTTTGAAAACCACTTGTGTCATTTAAACACATTTAAAACTGTTCTTATCATTATGCTTTAGAAAATATAACTCAATTACAGTAATGAGAATTACATTAATATTATTGGGTTTAACCTCATCAAACTGATAAAGTGGTTTACTCCTCCTATAACAGGAAAATCAGTAAAAGATTTGCTTCTTGAAGTTCATGGCAATGTATCGTTTGAAAATCAGTCTCTATTCAAAATTCTATGAAGCCCAGCTTAGTTTAGTATTATTCTCAAGATCTTTCTGGCTAGAAAAACTGC